ATTGATTGTTCATTACTTTTTATATGTTTGGCTTTAATATTTATATAAGGATTTTGTGTATATGCTCAAACGGTAATTAACTAAATGGACAAGATGAAATTTAATGTAATTGAATACCATGGAAAATAAATGTTTAATAACGTAAACTGTAATACCATAAATATGGCAAATAAAATGAACCTTATAAGAATATCATAGTTATTCAAGATCGATAATTTTGGTCAAATATTAACAATATAATTTCATGATTTACTTTCATCAATTAATACAATAAATTGCAGTTTCCTTAACATCATTTTATTAACTTATTTAGGATGTTAAAGTTGAGTATAAATCATCTTGATCCTAACCCATTCACCTCATTCTTCCTTCACACATTTTGTTATAATTACATCAAACCACGGTACTTACCTAATATTTTATTTTTTCGTCTTAATGTTTTGCAATTGTATTTTATTTTTCTTAAATTTTCGGCATGTTCATCCGAAACATGTCATTTGTTGTTTATTGTTTATTATTTTATCTATTGAAATATATACAAATATATAACAATCTAACTCATGTTTTTGTTTTTGTTTTTTGAAAACCGATGGATGGTGTCTATGTCATATGCGGCGACATCGGCAAGGGAGAAGTCATGTGACGTTGTATAGCCTGCAAAGATATGATCCATATTTATTGTATGGATGTATTTTTACAAAATTTTACTTATGTTTTTCCATCTTTTGATTATACTTGCGATGATTGTAAACTTTATTTCGACAAAGAAAATGTTAAGGTTACTGAAGTTGAGCATATAATAAAAACAAAGTAATTCGAGTATTTATTGATTTATAATAGAGATTCATATATACTTTATTCAATGTATTTGAATAAATTTTATTTTATATTTATAGCCTTATGTAACAATAAATTTGTTAGTTCATTAACATTCAAATTATTTGTCTTTCTTTAATTTCTTTCCCCATGTATTATTATGTTTTTACATGTACTTTCATTATTTCCTATAATGAATTTTTTTATGCTTATTTAAACGGGGCAATTTGCTATAGGTCCCTCCATATTATAATTTATGTGTATAAATGCAAGTCAAAGTTTCCATTTTTAGTATTAGTATTAGTATTAGTATTAGTATTAGTATTAGTATTAGTATTAGTATTAGTATTAGTATTAGTATTAGTATTAATGTTAGCATTAGTATTAGCAATAGAGGTGGCATGGATACGTTGCAATTTCGAGAGTTAAGAGTAGATGTGGCATAAAGATACTCATCAAGTCGGAATCTAGACTCAGATGTTAATTTCAATGTTGTCTACAAGGAAGGTTTTAAGCGAATATGAATTTAGATCATAAAAAATGTACATTGCGATTCAACGACACATTTTCTTTTTATTATTAATATGAATAATTAATTTTGCAATCTTAGATATTTTTGCACTTTATATCAATCTTATTGTCAACTCTAATGAAGTTCCTTTTTATAAAGATAGTATAATATAAATTGTATTTTTTCTTACACTTTTAGGTTACCATTTATGTTTCAGTAATGCGTATCACTGATCGCATATGAGCAATAAAAAATGAGCAGGTTACTCGCAAGGTATTAGATGAGTTATAGGTGATGTCAATGCATCTGCTATAAAACACTATTCTGATAACTAAGTTTCATGTTAAGTATCCGAGTGCATCAGATGAGATAATTGTAACAATTGGGTCAACTAATATATCTTTTTTGTACCCACTAATGAAAGTGTCGGTTTTGTGAATGATCATTTTTTATCGATCATAGCTGGAGAGGAGAAGGTCTATTTCAGCTCCAATAGTATGTGCAAGGGGGAGTAATTATGGAATGTCAACGCATAAATATATTCTCCGGAGTTTCTCAACACCATATCATGCTTCGGAATTCCACCACATAAGTTGACATTGAAAAAAGGTGTTTCCGTTATGCTCATGAGAAATATTGATCACGCCAGAGGATTGTGCAATGGAACAAGGCTTCAGGTTATTAATATTTTTCATTTGTAGGTTTATTTTAATTGTACTACGAACTTGCTGTGGACTCCGCTCACTATATTTAATGAAGGTAATATTTTTACAATGATTTTATGCCATTAAACAGTTATATTGGTATTGTTTTGGTAACAATTTACATATTCCGTGTGACCATTGTACAACGTATGCAGGTCAGTTTCATTGTACTGGATTCGTTGCATGCGTTTAGGGCGATTGGTATCAAAAAAAATAACACCGATTGTTTGCATCAAATTCAAGATTTGAACGTTCATATGTAATTGGGGTTGTTAAAATTTGGGACCAAGCAATCAAATTCAAGATTTGAACGTTCATATGTAATTGGGGTTGTTAAAATTTGGGACCAACGATATATTCGCTCTTTGTATGTGGAAATTAAAACCTTCGATGTTTAGTTTTTTATTTATTTCGCCTTATTTCATCACTTACACAATACAAAATACTTATATTTTTTTAATATTTCTTTGTATTACATATCAACAATTAATCTTACTATTTCGAGAACCTTTTTTATTGTTTAATATTTGTTTTACGATGAATGCCCCGTGCATCGCACGGGTGTAGTACTAGTTAGGAAGATAAAACAAAACATATATTAAATGCAGATATTGCACAAACAAAGCAGTAAATGCATTCAAAAAAATAATGGATGTTGGGCATAGCAAATTTATAAGTAATTTTTTTTGGGAACAATTATAAAAAATAAAATAAATTGAACAGTGTATAAAAAATCATTAATCCAATTTTAAGTGGCTTTGGGTAATGCTATACAATTACGTACGGTATTCAATTTCACATATTTCACTAACAAAAACAATGTGTTTATAACATATATATTCTATTGTTTTTTTTTTTACTAAAATATATGAATATTTACTTGCATCTTATAAAAGTACTTATCTAACATAAATTAGAAATAACTGAAAATATAAACAAAAAAAGTTCTAATTAACAAAATATCTTACATCTAGCAATTCCCATACAAAAAGTATTCTCTGTGGAAAGAATCCACTCTTCTATGTTTACATGTTAAATAAGTTTAAATTGATCACATTTGCTTCCATGGCGTTACAAATTTGAAATTATCAAAAAAGAGAAAGATACTACAAAGTTAAAATATTACCCAATGTTCTTTTTTTTTTTTTTTTTTTTTTTTTTTTTTTTTTTTTTATCTATCCATCCAGTATTAAATAATAAAAGAAGTGCTAATTTGTAAACAAAGAAGTGCTACAAAGTTAATATCTTCGTGCTCCAAAGAGATCGAGAAGTGCTACAAAGTTAAACCGAATCACTAAGATACGCAGACAACTCGATTAGGGGTGTAAACGAGCCGAGCTCGAGCCGAGCTCGCCTCTTTTGGCTGGCTCGAGCTCGAGCTCGAGTTTATTTTGTCGAGCTCGAGCTCGAGCTCGAGCTCGCGAGCTCCTCTTTTTATGGCTCGAGCTCGAGCTCGAGTTTATTTTGTCGAGCTCGAGCTCGAGCCCATTGTCTTTTTTTTTTTTTTTTTTTTTTTTAATATTTTTTTAATTATTATTTTATTATTAAAAATTATTTAAAAAAATAAAAAATAAAAACTAAATTGTAATTATACATATTTTTAATATTTGTATTTATTTTTATAATATTTTACATTATTTAAATAAAAATAACATATAAAAAATAAAAAATAATAATAAAAAAATAATAATAAATCCGGCTCGCGAGCCGGCTCGCGAGCTCATGAACAACTGAAAACCGGCTCGAGCTCGGCTCATCAGAAAGCTCGAGCTCGCGAGCTCGAGCTCGAGCTCGGCTCATCAGAAAGCTCGAGCTCGAAAATCTCGAGTCCGAGTTCGAGCTTTTTACGAGCCGGCTCTTCGAGCTCACGAGTCGGCTCGGCTCGTTTACACCCCTAAACTCGATAAACTGATAAATAAATTGGAAGAAGAGGACGAAGAAGAAGAAGAGGAGGTTTTAGACGAGATTTCTGTATGTTGCTTTTAATTTCATTTGAATTTTTTTTAATCTATTTTTGTTATCTTGTTCTAATAATAGTTATCTTCAATTTTAAATAAATTTATAGCCCATTACCTTTTGTTTTCATAATATCCAGCCCATTCCGTTGCTTTCTATATTTATTTATTTATTTAATATACATATTTATAATCTTATTATTAACACAAGGAAGAAATCTACTAGGGCTTCCTTCTCAGATGACTTTTCGTGTTTCGAAATTGCACGGCGGAGATTCGGAAATGGAGAAATATCCCGAGACGAAAAAACGGATCAATAAGATGCGCAAACAACTCGAGAAATTTGAGGTGGAGAATCCGGAACAGAGAAACCGGATCACTAAGATACGCAGGCATCTCGATAAACTGATAAATAAATTGGAAGAAGAGGACGAAGAAAAAGAAGAGGAGGTTTTAGACGAGATTTCTGTATGTTCCTTTTAATTTCATTTGATTTTCTTTTAATCTTTTTTTGTTATCTTGTTCTAATAAATTTTAAATAAATTTATAGAACTCCTATTGTAAACCCGATGTGCAACCTACCCCCCTACGACGTCGTCTTTCCGATATGGTCCTCTATGACCGACGAAATTCCACTGCCAGCACTAATCCCAATAGAATGCGACTACTAAAAAATACTGCCAAACTAGCGATTGGTTACTTCAACAAACAAAGTGTATGTTTTTTTTTTTGGATAACAAATAAATTCGATTTTCTTTTTGAATGATTATTAATGACTTGTTGCTTGTTTTTGTTATGTGTGTATGAATGTGTGTAGCCCATCAGATACTCTGTGCTGGATTTGGTCAGAGCAACCCAACATGTTTGCGCGGGTCGTTATTTCCGTTTGACGTTTACCGCCAAGCCCGAGGGTTCTGAAGAAACCGAAACGTTCGAAGCAAAGGTTGTCTACCGAATCGGTCAAACTGATGTCGATTTTGTCAAAATTGTGGCCATTTAGCTGCTAACATGTAATCCTTAGCTTGCGACATTATTATTTTCTTAAGCTGCTGCTATATATATTTTTCATGATTTTATTGGAGTATTTTCTTGGTCTATTTTTAGCATATTAGTTGTATACAAATCTCCTATATGTGAGGAGTATTAGTAGCTAGTTTGTTTAGAGTTTGTTCATCTACAGTCTTATGAGATCATAATGGAATAAAATCAAGCTTTCCTTATTACTCATTCTCCTATCCTCTTTATTCAGGAGTCCCCTAGCCCCCGATATTTTTTTTTTATTCCATTAATATCGAAAGACACAAGGAGGCCTCGTTAAAAACCTTATGGTCCTATACAAGGAAAGTAGTACCCCTAAATGAACGGAATAAAAAGCGGATCTATAAAAGATACTATTACAAATATGATCCAATAAGGAGGAAAATTGAAAAATAAATAAATTATCAAAATCCACATCACAAACCATTTCCTAAGCATCTTTTGCTAAACTTTGCCGCTTACTTTCGACTTTTTCAAAGCCCCGTCTGATCATTATGATATTCATGATAAACCTCATCGGTAAAATTGCCATCCATGTACACTTCCCGATGATTACAATGTGAGTGTGCCCAGTCAGCGAGTCGATCCGCCACACAATTCCTTTGTCTATGGAAGTGATTGATCTTGAAATATGTGGGAAATAACTTTGTGCTCTCGCGAAATACATACTCCAACTCCCATGCCACCGTGCAATGGTGTTTGATAGCTTGAACAACCACAAGTGAACCACTCTCCACGTCTACTTGAGCGAGTTTCAGATCATGACATAATTGTAAACCATCTGCCAAAACCAAAAATTCCGCCATATTATTTGTACCAATCCCGTAGAATATCTAGAATGCAACTAAAACTAGGGGTGAGTTCGGGACGGGATTTTGGGAATTCAGGATTTTCGGGTCGGGATTTTGGGATTCGGATAGAAATTTTAAATCCCAATCCCGTCCCATAATATTAAATCTCGGTATATCGGTATCCCTAAATATTTCGGGAATTCGGGATTGGGATCGGGAATCCCATATTTTGCCTAAAAACTAAGAAATATTGTTTTTTTTTTCCATTAGTATTATTATATACACTAAACCAACTTGAATATATTATATACATACTTTTGTTCTTGCAATATTTATTTTTACCACAAAACTTGGAATAAATAAAATTTAAAAAAATTAAAAATAAGTTGAAACAATATATTATATAGTATTTCTCATCTCCTTGACAATATATATATATATATATATATATATATATGTGTGTGTGTGTGTGTGTGTGTGTATTTATTAGTTTTTTTTTTCTTTTTTCCTAATTCGGGATTAAAATATCCAGATCGGGATTGAACCAATTCCCGAATTCCGATCCCGTATTTGTTCCTAATACCGATCCCGAATCTCGTAATCCCGAATTCCGATCCCGTATTTGTTCCTAATACCGATCCCGAATCTCGTAATCCCGAATTCCCGAAGTTTTAGTCCCAAATAGTAAAAATCCGATCGGGACGGAACGGGATCCCAAATCCCAATCCCTAAGTCCCAGCCCTAACTAAAATCACTCCGTTATAGTCTTTAATTACACCTTCACCAGAATACCAGAACACTGCCCATCGTGAGCTGACCCATCAACATTTAGTTTATATCTCTTAGCAGTAGATGGTTCCCAGCGGCACCATAAAGTGCGCTTGGTCTCGATAGGAGTCAACCAAAACCCCACCGTTTCTAATTTATTTTGTTATCGCTAGGGCGATTTGAGTTTGGGGCTGAAGATTATCGATAGAATAGTAAGCTGAGACTTTATCTGGTGAATAATCTCTTTCCTATTCATACACTCATCTTTAAAAACTGCTCGGCACCAAGAATTCTAAATTTCGAGAGAATACAGTAATAAGCTCCCATCCGAAGCGCCATGTACTAAATACTGATATTTGTGTGAGGGGACCAAATTACCACAGCCTGGTAAACGGAACAAAAGTTATGCGGGAGACGTAATATGGCATCAAATCTCCATAACTGAATTGCACAATCTCCCTACCTTTATCTCTCTACCTTCAAAAGCATGAATGTTTTATGTTTCTTAACTTTTTTGTGATACCTATTCTACCTTTATTAGTAAGTTATTATATATCTATGTATATTACATATTGTTATGTACGTAAAAAATATTATGTATATTGCAATCAATACATCCAATTAATATATTTGCACTTTACTGCTCTCTCTCGATCTCTCTTTGTTTCTTTTTTTTTTTTTGGTTTTTTTTTATTTAACACATAGACAAAAATAATGTTTGGGAACTTTGTATTCCATTTATTGGATAAATCAAATTCGACTAGGATTTATGGATCATCGGAAAATGATATTTTTCTAATAATCATAAAATATTTTTAATGGCGTGATTTAGTTTCATGATTTACATCTCAAACCTCTAAAATGTTTTTATTTATTACTTTTTTATTTGTTATAAATTTATAACTTTTCTTTTATCGAAATATGTAAATTAAATAAACATATTTAGTAATAAAGAAATTATATGAAACTTTTAAAACCCGTAAAATGAAACTACATTTGATTTAGTATGTCTTCGTAATATTTTTCCCTACCTTTTTAAAGCATGAATGTTTTATGTTTCTTAACTTTTTTGTGATACCTATTCTACCCTTATTAGTAAGTTATTATATATCTATGTATATAACATATTGTTATGTACGTAAAAATATTATGTATATTGCAATCAATACATCCAATTAATATATTTGCACTTTACTGCTCTCTCTCGATCTCTCTTTGTTTTTTTTTTTGTTTTTTTTTTTATTTAACACATAGACAAAAGTAATGTTTGGGAACTTTGTATTCCATTTATTGGATAAATCAAATTCGACTAGGATTTATGGATCATCGGAAAATGATATTTTTCTAATAATCCATAAAATATTTTTAATGGCGTGATTTAGTTTCATGATTTACATCTCAAACCTCTAGAATGTTTTATTTATTACTTTTTTATTTGTTATAAATTTGTAACTTTTCTTTTATCGAAATATGTAAATTAAATAAACATATTTAGTAATAAAGAAATTATATGAAACTTTTAAAACCCGTAAAATGAAACTACATTTGATTTAGTATGTCTTCGTAATATTTTTTTATGAAAGAAATATGATAAGATCGATGATAATTTCATAAATGTTATGCAAGTGACAAAACGAATAGAATGATATTATAAAAAATAATCACTGAAAATTTTGGTAGTAATATGTCCATTTTAAATATTTAGCTTATATTTTTTTGATAATGAAGGAATCCGTAGCATTTTTCTTATATCATAAACTCTGTGTTGCATATTGTTTTTTCTAATTTTATATATTGCAATTTGTTGAATTTTTTTTTTTGATGTTCATGCATTTCGCTATAAAATTCCGAAAAAAGAGTGAAAACATTGTGAAAAATCCCATTATATCCGAATTTGGATCAAGAGATTATAAATTAATGCAATTTCTGAAATTTTCGAAATGTTTGTAATATTATGATCATTGGAAAACTCTTGAAATGTCACTCTAAAGAAAAGACATTGTTGAAATTTAATGTATAAAAATAGTTACAGTAACAAAAAGAAAATAAAAAATATATTTTTTTTAGTATATTTTGTAGTATACTAACAGATCCGTAACATTAAAATTATAATACTAAAAAGTAATTAATATACATTATTATTTATTAACCTATTTTTTTTTTTTTTATGTTTTTTACATAATTGACTATGGTTAAATCATATTATCACTTATACTAATAAAATCCATAAATAACGATAAGTACATTAAATTTAAGAATTTATTTTACCTCGATATTTTAAAATCAATCTTAGTCATTCACAACTATTTCATCTTATTTTAGACATATTTATTATATATTGGTTATTATTATTTATTTTTAATTTTATTTTGTTATTTCTAAATAATTCTTAATTAACTTGATAATGCTCGCTTACCTGTTTATGATATGTCACTGAAAAACTCTATTATGAGTTTTATAAAAAATACATTTTATTTAATAATTTAAGAAAATAAACTTCAACTTTCAAAATAAATCATAATATATGAAAAGATTATCATACTTTTAATATAACATAATATAAATATTATTAATATTATTCGCAAATAATAATTCGTTTGAGTTTGTATTATTCTATTTTCATATTTGTGGAATATACGTGATAAAAATTATACGAGAGCTAATTTAAAAGTTGAAACTACTTTAGGTATCTAATGTTTAACTTAAAATAAACTGATTTGTTTTAAAATAAAGTTTTACAAGTATATGCTTATAGTATATCATTGGAAAGCTCTTCAAATGTAGTTTTATAAAAATTAAATTACATGGATAATTTCAATACGTAGAGAAAAATTCAATATGAAGAAAATAAACTCTTGCCTTAGTATAAATATACCACATGAAAAGATATTTGATATTTAAACTACATTATTAAGTTATGTTAATTTTTTTTATTTTGGTAATTACACAATTGATCCTAAATAATTGATGGTATAACGTTGTAATAAGGGGCATAATATGAAGCATAACAATGTTAAGAAACAAAAATACATATTTTACCCTTAATTAGTAAGTTACACTATATACTATTTATGGTTAGTTAAGTAAAAAAGTTATTGATATTTCAATCAATGCATTCAATCAATGTATCATGATCTCCCCTAATTCATAATACCAATTTTTGTTTCACTAGCATAATGAAAAGTCATGCACATTTTCTCTTTCTGTTATATTTCTATGGTTTTGTTTTTTATTTCCTCTACTTTTTCTTAATAGTAATTGCTTTCGTATTTTCCATTTTTCAACTGCACAACTCTATTTTTCTAAATAAATAAACCAGAAAGTAACAATTGTTTTGGATTTTTGGACAGGCTAAAAGAAAGATGAGTAAATTACAACCACTTCTAAGTTGAGGTATAATTACAAAAAAAATCCCTTTTTTTTTGTTCGTATAATGGCATCCACACGTGTACATTGTATCCATCGTACACGTTCACCCTTACGGTGTCAAAATAAATATTTTTGTAGATTTCGTGGAATATTTCTTAGTCGATCTCCAATTCTCCATTTTATCCCGGCATAGGAGTCCCAATAAAATAGCTCATTTAAGACAAAAATGTCCTTAGGGAGAACGGGTAATCTCCCTACCT